ACACCCCACCAGTTCCTCCGACATTGTGGCAGCAGCAAGAGAAACAAAGGGGGAGGAGCGGCTGCGAGGCGCTGCGGAAGGCCTGCTGCTGCGCGCGGTGTGCGTGCTGCTGCTGCTGCTGCTGCTGCTGCTGAGGCCACGCGGCCGTGCCGGGCCTCAGAAAAGTGATCGAAGACCTCCCTGCGCTAAATGCACAGAGAGAGTTCTGCTGCAGCTCGGCTGCTGCTGCTGCTGCGTTGCGGAGCGGCTGCTGGCGGGCGAGAGAGGAGGCGCAGCGTGAGTGTCCGTGCCGGCCGCGAGCGCAGCAGCTGCTGCTGCTGCTTGTTTCTTCTGCTGCTGCAGTATCGGCAGCAAAACAGAAAAGGCAAATCGGCCGCGGCCCCGCGCGGCAGCCCTCTGAAGAAATAGAATGTGCGCTACGCGGTCGCAGCGGCGACACCAGCAGCTGCAGCAGCAGCAGCAGCAGCAGCAGCACCACGTGCAAAGAAGAGGCGTTGGAGAGGAAGGCGGGTGCTTGACAGAAAATGCTGCCCTTTTATAAACAGATAAAGTTAATATGGACATGTAATACGAGGTGTACCGACAGCTGAACAACCACAGTAGCAGCAGCGCTAAGCGGCAGCTGCTGAGCGCACCAGTCGAGCGGCTGGCGTGCTGCTGCTGCTGCTGCTGCCGCTGCTGCCGCTGCAGCAGCAGGGCCTGTTCACGCTTCGTAATTAAGGGTAGCATTTTATTTGCTTCTAGCGTTAGAGCTTTGCCAGCATCGACAGAAGACGGCTCTCACCAGCAGCAGCCCAAGGCCGCTCCCTCCTGCAAACGCCCATCTGTAGCAGCAGCAGCAGCAGCAGCAGCATTCGTGAGGGATTGCTTCTGTTCTAGGTGTTCATCTCCGCAGTTCCATCTTTGCAGCTTTGCGCTCTAACGGCGCCGGCCCGCTGAAGGCCTTCCCGCTTCGCCAGCAGCAGCAGCAGCAGCAACGCGCACTGGGGGGCACCGCCAGCAGCAGCAGCAGCAGCAGCAGCAGCACGGCGACGCAGTTTACAGCTGCCTCCACTTCAACTTTTGCAAAACAACTGATAATGTCGGAGGAACTGGTGGGGTGTATCTGCAGCTCTTTGGCGGGCCTCATGGGGGCAGTCAGAGAAGCTGTTGCTGCTGCGAACACTTTGGGGGCCCCCACGGATGTGCTGCCTTCGGGGGGAGATGCAGCAGCAGCAGCAGCAGCAGCACCTGGCGGCGACGGCGGCGAGCAGCAAACTGCGGGGGGTCTCTCGCCCACGCATGTTGCTTCCCTCATTCTCATTGTGCTCGCCATCTTCTTTTCTGCTTTCAGAAGTGAGCTGCTGCTGCTGCTGCTGCTGTTGCTGCTGCTGCTTTATGGTCCGGAGCTGCTGCTGTTGCTCCCGCGGCTGTTGGGCTGCGTGCTGCTGCCGCTCCTGCTGCAGTTCACTACTTCGCCATCGCTTGCTGCTGCTGCTGCTGCTGCTGCTTTTGTGTACGCAGGTTCTCCATCGCTGCCTGCAAAGGCCTCGAGGGAATCCCAGGGCCCCAACGGCGGCGGCAACGACGGGTCTCCTGTTGCGTGAGTTAGCAGCAGCAGGAGCAGCAGCAGCAGCAGCCGCTGCAGCAGCCGCTGCAGCAGCAGTTTGAGAGCAACACTACGGGAGCAGCAGCAGCAGGCACTCGATGCCTCACGCCGGATTCCGTGTGGCTGGCAGCAAGCGCGGAGCCATTAGACAAATGAGAAAGGACAAACCTGGCTGGGAGAAGAGGAGAAGCAAGTGCTGCTGCAGGAAGCAATCATTTGTGGACAGAGTCCTTGAGCAGGGCGACGCGGGTTGCTGCTGCCGAAGCAGCAGCAGCAGCAGCTGCTGCGGCAGCAGCGGCAGCTGCGGCAGCGGCAGCAGCAGCAGCGGGAGCAGCAGGAGTTTGTTGTTTGGTTCTGGGGGGTGGCGCTGCAGCGCGTGCAGCTCGACAATTTTGAGGCTTGTTTGTTGCAGCTTCTTTCTTTTAGCACACGAGACTCACCGATTGCGGTGTACAGACAGCCGGAAACCTGCGCCATGTCTTGCCGGAGTGCCGCCGCTTTTCAGAATTCAAGTTCGCCGCGAGGCGGGCGGGCGCACCGAGAGGGAAGAGTCGCGCAAACCGAGATCAGTTGATCGTTTTTCAGAGACTCGCAGCTGAGAGCAGTTAAAAACTCGAAAAAAAGCTGCTCTTCGAGTCGCAAACCCGCAACTCCCGCTGTGCAGGTTGGTGCGGCAGCAGCAGCAGCAGCAGATGCCGCTGCAGGGGCACGGGCACTAGAAATGGGAACGGAATTCCAGTCCTTCAGGTCTTTTATGATTTTGCTGAGCAGGAGGGTCGGTGTAGTCCTCGGCTGAGGCCGAGATCGCCACAGATCGTTTGTAAAATGCACATTTAAATGAACTCAACGCTTGTGCTCACACTGCGCACGCAAAGCAGACCTGCGTGTACACCCGAACCCGCAAACCGGAACAACTCGAGTTCCTCATTTTACTTTCATATTTCTCGGCGATTAAGTGGAATTTCCCTTTTTCTGCGTCCTTAGTTGCCGTTTGCCACCGCTGTTCAAGTTCCTGCTCCCAGACTGACACCCTGGGAGCCACTTAGCAGTTCCTGAAGTTGAACTTGAATTTTTTGCAAGTCCGGTCGGCGGCGCTGCAGCGCCCCGCCGTTCCTCTGCAGCAGCTCCTGCACTTCTTTGCTGCTTTTTAGTTCACATTTTCGCTACCTTCCCTGTCCTCTTTTTTTCCTTTTCTACTCATTCAAGAGAGGAGTGCTGCCGTTCGCTGCGACTGGCGAAACTGCGCAGAACCGCTGCAGCGCCAGACTTAAAAAAACGGTTTGCATCCAACTTTGGCTGCTTCTGGACCCGCCAGCAGCAGCGCAGCAGCAGTGGAGTCGGGCTGCTGCTGCTGCTGCTCCTCAGGAAGCAGCAGCACGAGAAACCGCGCAAAAGTCGAGGAGGGGGGCAGCAGCGCGCCCTACTGAGCAGCACGGGAGACCCCTCCCCATCCCCCAAACAAGTTACAAGCAGCAAAACTCATCTACTCTGCAGCGATTCGGGGCAGCAGCAGCACCCCAAAGCTGCTGCTGCAGCTCTGCTGC